AAATGACGACTGCGCAAATATTATATTGGTTAATGTGACTCAGAACACGGTTTCGTTGTTTATAATTTGAAACAACCAAAACGGATTTTGTTCTTTTGATTCAATTTTTTTCTGTGAATTGTTGCGAGTCGTAGAATATATTATTTTTCCCGGTCTCAAACATTAATTATAAGTGAAAATTTTTTTTTATTTTTCAACTAATTTTTTTTCAATTATTATATTACTCTATCAGATGTCCATGTCCTCACTCAAACGTCTGGTGCGCGGCATCTTTGCATACTTGCAACGGGAGGGGGGCTTTTTTCATAATTTTCGAGACCAGCCCGGTCCGGCCCGTCTCGGCACGGATTTTTGGAAAAAATTTTTTCTGTTTTCAAAAATATTTTTGGGGTCAACAGAAAAACATGAACGATTTTTCTGACAAGAAAAACATTTTTTAAGATAAGAGTGTGCATAAAAAAATAGTTCTTTTACAAAAAATGTGAAAAAATTTCTGAAATTTCCAATAATTTTTTCAAATTCGGCCAGTTGGCGCCAGCTTCAATTTTCGGGCAAAAAAGTGTGTGTGTTTTGTTTTGGGAAAAAGTTGTTTTTATCATCTAATTTCAAGCTAAATTGTAAATATTGAATTTGTAAATGTTTAAACAAATTTTTAAAAAAAAATGTTTTCCCTGAATTTTTCCAAAGTTGAGATCGAAGAAAAAATGCATTTTTGAAGCAAAAAAAAAAGTTTTTTCTCAAAAACAATTTTTTTTTAATTCTCAAAAAATTATCAAAAAAACATTTTTTTTTGAGAAATTTCGACCAACAAAAATTCTTGTCCGGGCTTTCCGGGCCTTCCGGGCCGGGCCGGGCCTTCAACGATTTTTGCAAGTATGACCAAAACTGAACCCGGAACCTTCCGCACCAAACTGCGCCGGAGGCGCGGCAAACAGATGGCTGGTAAACTAAAACTCTCGTCCGAAACCAATGCACGTTGCGGCCGAAAATTTACTCAAAATCGCATTGTCGGTCGCACAGCGAAAAAAAAAATTGATTCATGCGCCTTTAATTACCGTACCTCGGACGTTTTTTATTTTGGGCCCTATTTGGCTGTTTTTTCTGTTTTATAAGAAAAATAAATTAAAGATTGATAAGAATTACACAAAATTAGACAGAAAAAAGTGAAAAAATGAGAGAAATTTGAAAAATTCGATAAATGTTGAGGTACTGTATTTAAGGCGCGTGCAATAATTTGAAAAATACAGTAAGGTTCTCTCTGTGGGAGCTAAGCTCAGCCCACCGTTGTTTTCTCGGCCGCAACGTGCATTGATTTCGGACAAGAGTAATATACAAAACAACAAGAGAAATGGTAAAACGCAAAAGTTTATCTTAACTGATCTACTGAATATTTTGAAAAACCGAAACCAAAAAAAAATCATAATTTCAAAATCTTTCTTCGGATGGAGTCTTCAGACAATGCTGGACATTTGAATAACTATTGGAATATCAATGATAACAACGCTCCACAGCTGAGAGAACCTGGATGTATCCCAGTTCTAAAAAAGTCTTGGTGTGAATTCAAAGAGAACGGAACTGAATATAAAATTGCTTTTCTCGGAAGCAGTTACGTTTCCAACCATCACAAACTGATAATTCAAGAGTGCCGAGATCGTGCCACAACTATTTCAATGTATATGACAGTAGGTGAGAGTTTATATTGATTAAAATTCACTTTTCATTAAATTCAATAGGTTGTGAACCACTAGCCGCTCCTCGAAAACCAGTTGACAATGGAGATTTTCCCACAAGTTGGAAAAAGGAATGCGCTGAAAAATTGAATAACTTTGTTGACATTATAAATGAGACGCAAACAGATGACGCATTCATTCTGACAAGGCAAAAATACGATTTTTACAAGACAAGGTTTTATCTATATATTCCAGATGGTTTGCTGTTGCGGAACCCTATGAAAATGACCTGATAACTTGAGCAATGATACAATCTACTTGGAAATGGAAAGCCAATTGAGGAAAATGCTACCGATCGTCAGGAAGAAGTTGTTTATTTTAGATTCTTTTCCAAAAGCCCAATCAAAAAAATTGAAAAGATTGCAGAAAAAATGAAAAAAAGAAAGAAAATGGAGGAAATCAATGTAAGCAACAGATTATAGCTAATTTTTTTTTGATTTTCCCAGCAAGCCTTATACGATCCGAAACAATTTGAATTTGGACGACATCGTCATGCTGAATTAGTGAAAAATGAATGTGGATCGAAATGCGAACTGATTGACTAAGTGGATGCATTTTAATACAAAACAATGAATCAATTCCAGTATTTTGATTCAAATGGTTTTTCTTATTTCACAACTGGCGCTCATTTATCGGCTCATGGATTGGAATATGTTCAACCGATTTATACGGAAATTCGTGTTCGTTTGTAGTTTTTAGTCTTCAAACTCAATTGTCAATAAATAAACATTTTCAATTTTCCCGGCGCAAAAATAGATTTTTTCCGGTTTTTGGTAATTTTTTTCCTCAACAAAACATCATCAAATTTTAAACAGTGATTACAATTTTATGTTTTTTGCTATTACCCTGGAAGTTTAGGGTCTGAAATGCCAATTTTAGATAATTCCGATTAACGGAAGTTTCTTACATCTGGATAAATGCAGGGATTTTCGGAATGGCCTTTCAGAATATTTCGAAATATCGGAAATTCCGATTTTCAAAACTTGAGAATTTCGAAATCTTGGAATTTTCCAATTCTGAAATTTTTGGAACTTCGGAATATTGGAATTTTCCAATTTTGAAGTTTCTGGAACTTTGGAACATTTCGGATTTTTTTTGAAGTTCAATTTTTCAAACTAGTGAGTTTGCTTTTTTAAACTAGTAAAAACAATCAACGACGAAAACAGAATTATAAACTTTAGGATTTTTTTTATTCAGATGTATCGAACATGCGAACCTCAATCGGAAATATTTAAAAATGGCATTCTAGACCTTATACATAAGCCGTTTTTAAAAATATTCTCTGCAATTCATCAAAAAAAGGGATGTTGCTTACAAACAACCTGAAACACTCATCAACTCATCCATTTCAGTTTCATTACTTTACGCAATCAATCTTTACCCTTTTTCTCGCTTTTTCTAAAAATTTTCATATTTACAATCACTAAATTTCGTTGACAGTGGCCGTTTGGGCAATAGATTGATAACAGCTTATCAGTGTTTCGAAACATTGAAAGTGAAACAGGCGCAGAGCCATAACAGTCTATTGTTTTGGAGCATTTAAAAATGATGACGAATAAATATAATATGTACACTTTATTGAAAGAAACACGACACCTTCAAGAACATTCTTGACGATTCTGTACAGAAAAAAAGCTCAAAAGGAAAAGTACTGTAGAGGAATGATGAAATATCAGGGGTTGCTAACTAAGGGGACCCGTTTAGAAAACGGTGAACGTTAGTAGGTTTAGGATAATATGCATAAATTTTTGTGAGTTTAGAATGGTCCGTTTTCCTTAGCCGATGCATTCTTTTGCTTCCGGAAAGAACGACTTCTGACCCATTCGTTGATGTATGACAGCACATTTTTCTTCTTCGATCTCGTAGAAGAGGATGATGATGTGTCCGAAATAGACGGTGCAACCCGCGGGAACTCCTCTTCCGATGCCTCGTGAATCGTCTAAAAATAAATAATCCATGATGCTGATAGTTGAAAAGCCATAATTCAATTGACTCTAGCATTCCACGACATGGGTCACGAGTTCGGTCATTAACCAGAGTTTCTGTACACGTACCGTGATTGGAGCAATGACGGGTGCCTGATGTGCGCCGGTTGTAAATTCTTGTGCCCTCCCGAGGCCAGTGTCGTCCTCGGTTTCTTCCTCGTCCATTTCGGTGATTGCAGGGCAACGAGAGGCCAGATACGTGTAACTGCGACGTTTGCATCTGGAAATTAGTGATAATTGGTAGTGGTGGTAATAAAATTAAGAGGGTGCAGGGTATGTTTATGATTGGGAAATGGTACCATAACTAGTTGCCGTGTGATTTTTTGTTGACTTACAAAAGCCTATCAGAATGAGATAATAAAAAATGTTCTAGTTCTTGGAATTTAAAATTACAGTACCAATAAGATATACAAAAACGTGGTTTTCAGTTGATTTTAACCAATTTCAAGAGTCTGGAGCTCGGCTATCAAGTGGCCGATCCTTTTGAAAATTATGGAGGTTGTAAAACAGACCTAGATTGGAAACTTTGCATTGACAGAAATTCTCGAAAATCCTGTTTTCAGCCATTACGACTTCAGAAAAAAATCAGTTTTTTTTTCACGTTTTCAGTACAAAATGACAAAAAAAGGTGTCATTCAGAAATCGTCAAAGATCTGAATAACTGGGAATTTTCAAAAAACTCTGCGAATGCAATTCATTTCAATCTAGGCTTGTTTTTTACCCTCCCAAGTTTCCAAAATTATCGGAAACTTAAAAACTGAGCTCCAGAATTTTTAAAATTATCAAAATGGCCAGAGAGAAGCTGAAAAATACGTTTTTGTATATCTTGTTGGCCGGTACTGTAAATTGGCTTATTCCCATCCCAGTTTCCTATTTTAAGCTAACATAGATGTGTTACAGTAACCTTCAAAACCTTCTCAAATTCTGATAACCTGAACCTCTATCTATTCTACAGTATTCAGGTCACAACCACCTTAACACCCTTTGACCTTTCTCTAGAATAACATTCATTACTCATAGTTCCCTACGTGACAGTTTTTGTTATCAAAATAAGTACCCTGCCATTATCCGGATTATAACAATTCTCGATTTTCGCAGCCGTTTTATCTTCTGGCACGTTTCAGAACACATGAACATGCACCCAAAAAGAGACAACACAGCACTTTTTTCCGGTTAATCTAACGATCATCGCTCACAGTACCTACAATCGCGGCTAATAAGTATCTGATGGGTTTACCTTGACTCCATACGACGGGTACGAAGCATCATCATTCTTTGATGTTTGTCCAGAAGTGAATCGAGTGAGGTTCCTTCTTTTCCTAAAAATTGATAAGCTCAAACGAATACCGTAGTTTTAAAAACCAACCTGTTGAAATTTTTGGGGCCAGCTGTGAGTTAGTGGTTCTGGTTCGTTGTCTTGGTTGTGGCTTTTTTCTCTCATAGAGATTGAATTCCGGACGGATGACTGGTGAGAACAGTGCCATTGGTGCTGAAAATGAAGTCACGTTTTTAACTTGCAAATCACACAAACATATGTAAGAAAAGTGAAAATGCAACTTCTGCAAAAAAGAAAATGATAACTAGTTTGGCAATACTCCTTTTCTCACCCCGGTTGACTTTTATAGAACTCAACCCGCGGGGCACACTGATAAGATCATCACAAACAAGTTGACATTGAAAGAAAAAGAAGGAATGGGGTAGCGTGTCAAGAAAAGAGTTCATTTCGGAATTTCTTTTCGGAAATTATTTATTAAATTTATGATAACGTTTATGTCGTTTTCAGGAAAAAAGATAAAGGTAGAAGCTCCGCTTTGGCCGCAGCCATTTTGAAAACGATTTGAAAACAACCAAGAATGTTCTAGAATAGGAAGAAATGATAGTGAGGCGACGTCTTTCAAAAGTGAATGGGGTAGGAGGAGAACACTAATGGGCGGTGCTTAGAGAAAACAGTAAAGGAGACAATGAGTCATTTAACAAAAGGAATTTTCAGTGGCATCGGAGGCAATTAGGAAATAAAGGTAGAAGAAGACAAAAAGTGATCAGTGACCAATTGCACCCAATTTTTTGTGGAATTCGAACTCTCACTAACCGGATTATGACAGACAAACAGGATTGAAATAGGGAATCCACGTAATGATTTTTGTGTTTTTTTTTCAGACAATTTTTAATCGGGGATGACAAATCTATGCTAAGTATAAGTTAAGTATAATTTTGAAATCCCATAATTGAGAAAATCGGAAAACAACTACAGATTGAAAAGAAGGATACTGAATTTTCTATTTTCCATCAAAACAGAGCCACAAATCTTATGGATATATGTTTAGGACACGTGAGAAAAACAGCTAAAAAATTGTTTTTAACAAAACAAGTATAAGTAAATTTCAAAGTTCCTATCGTTCGAAAATGCTGGACAAAACTGCAGTTTCTGACTTTTAACTTTGTGCTAATTTTTCTCGATTCCTGTTAGAGATATGAAAAAGTGGTCAACAGATAAATTGTCTATCATAATATCACCAATACTTTGTCAGTTGAAAATTTGTTTGATAACTCTAATAAGAACGGAGATAATCGAGCTTAAAGTGGACGTATATGATGGTCTTCTCAAGAAAAAAATACAGTAAAATTAGTTATAGAAAGGCCCCTAATTTTTAACTTTGAGCTCAATTTTCTCGGTTCACGCGAAAGATATCAAAAAGCTGTAAACAATTGAATTGCTAATTATAGAATCACCAATATTTTATTAGTTGACAAATTTTTAATATCTCTAATAAGAACCAAGATAATTGAGATCAAAGTTCATGTATAGGTAGGGCTTCTAAAAATTCCTACTGTTCGAAAACACTACAAACATTACTTCAAAATCTGAAAACATCTATAGTAGGTTCTACAAAAATTGCGAAAATTTCCTATCAAACAGAACCAATTATCTTACGGATCTCTGTTGAAAAAAGAAAAGAAAAAAAATACACACACTGAAAAATGCTGTTTCAGCAAAAATTGAGAATTTACAATTCTCCAGCGGACTGACAACCGGAACGAGTTCCCTGTCTTAACACTATCATATGATAATGTTGTTTTAAGAAAGAGGGGACCATGTGGTTGCACCCATCTTAACCTAATAACAAAACACTTATGATTGCCTGCTGCCGTCGTCGGTCTAGAGATTAGAAAAAGGGGTTCCCTGTGTGTGATTTTTGACACACACGGGTTGTTTTTGCAGGTAGAAAAACATTTGGGAAAGCCCCCGAGCCAAGAATGAGTGCGGGGTTTCACAACAGGAATCTTATTTTTATACTTGTTCCGTTTTCATTGTACAATACAGAACGGACGACGATGAAATGTGTTATCAGCCTAATTTCCTGCTATTATGACCGTCCGTAAGCCGCTTTTGACGCGTTGGGACTGAAGCACAAAGGGTTTCCCCAAGGCGAGTACAGACTTTGGGGAGATGATTTGGGAAAAAAAAAGAAATAAGCCGACAACTGATAATAGGAACCTTTGAACACAAAAAAGGACGAAATTCCACTGTACGAAAGGGAATTATTTTCGCTTTTTTTACTCTGACTACCATTGTTCTATGGGTAACAGATTTAATTGGTCAGAACTGATTAGAGAGTTTGAGGCGTTTGAAAACAAATTTTCAAAAAAAAGTGAATTGATCCCAACAAGATTTTTTTCGAGAAACAATTTTTGACAAAATACCTCGAAAAATGCTTTTTTCAAGAAATTTGAAAAAAAAACCCTCCAAAAAAATTCACAATGCGGAATTTTGGAGTGTCGTTGCTGAGATTTTTTTTTGTTTTTATTTCATTTGGAGTGGTGGCCTGACTTTTGCAAATTGGGTTTTCTAGGCCGAAATGACCGAGAAAACACTGCAGAGACTTGACGAGCCATGGTGGCCTAGAAAAGTATGCTGGCCTAGAAAACTGAATTTGCAAAAGTCAGGACATCACTATAAATTGTATTATTTTTGAAAAATTCCTTGATACTTTTTTCGAGAATATCTTCGTAAGATTTTTCAATCTTTCTTCAAATTTTAGAGGAATTTTTCGAGAATTTTCCGGAGAGTTTTTAAAGGAATTTTTTGACAAATTTCTTGAAGAATCCTTCAAAAAATTTTGAAGAATTTTTCGAGGAAGTTTTTGAAGACTTTCTCGATAAAATCCTCGAGAATTTTCTCCAAACCGTGAAACATGGATACACTGACAAAGAAAAAAGTTACTAGTTCACTGAAACCCTTGAACTAATTAGGCACTAATTCAATTGTTAATTCGATATCAGTGTCTGAACTGATTTCAAACGATTTCGTTGACATCTTCTTCCTTGTCTCTTCTTTCTCTTTGAGATACCAAGGGGGTTTCCCAGAGACTTCTTTGTGATAAATGAGGACGGGATCGTAAACGTCTCAGAAGAAGACGACGAAGCTAATAAAAATGTCCCCAGAACTTCCGGTCTAGATTGATATCTCTTTTATCTATTTTGGGAATCTCTCTTTCTGTCAGATTTCTGATCTTCTGCTATGTGGGTGTTCTTTATTTATCTTCCTTGTTAATGGTAGAAGGAAATATCGGAAGATCAGATGTTTCGGTAAAAATGACCACTCCCGGCATACATAAAGTTCTTATCAGTATTTTCAACTCATTAAGAAAGAGCAAGGAGCACTTACGTGTCATAATATGTGATAGATCCATTTTCAACGACGCTAATTGACAAGTTTTGTGTGGAGTGCCAACCTTCTGTTGTTCCGAAACTTGTTAAGTTGTGCACGTAGCTGAAAAAACAATTGAAAATTCAAATTTACATATTCAGGTTCTATTCATTGTTCTCTGACAGACATATGACTCGGCAGTAAAAACGTGAATTGGTTTAATACACAGACTGAAATACAAAAACCAAATTAAGAAACTTAAATCGGTTTATGAAACGTGTGAAAGTGGAAATTGTCGAAAACATGAGTCAGGTGAGACGACAATGCAAAAACAAGACGGTTATATATGGAAGTTTTGAGTTTGCAACATTGTTTAGTGGGAGAGGAGGTGGGTTCTTGATGAAATAATATGCAAATTTTTTAGACAGGTTTTTGGGTGAGTAACCAGCTGGAACTCGAAAAAGTTGATATTCAAAACAGTACGTAGAAAGAAATTTAGGAAATCGTAGATCCAAAATGGTCAATATTATCGGTATCATGTCTGCAAATCGGGTTCACTTATTTTCACTTTTTGTTTTTATTTTCACGTATCACACTCGACTGTTCAATAGAAAGCGTTACTTCAAAAAAAAACAAAAACATCAATCATTTTAGAGTAAATTCTGCAAATTCTTTTTACGTTACACCGTTATTGCTCTAGTAGAAGTCCACCCTATACATGTATTAGGTTGGCAGGAAAGTAACTATCCCTTGTTTTAATTGTGAATAATACGAAAACCAGGTTAAGCCAAGGTTAGCAGTTTGCACCGTCGTGGCCCATAGTTTGTTGGCAATATTCAGGTATCTTGTGGATACCCTTTTCTCCTTAAGCGAGCTAGCCGCGGATCAAAGAATTCTTTTTTTTAGTTTTTTCTCATAAATGGTGCAAAATTCATCACCCTCTAGATGACTTCGTATATCTCCGAATAACCTATAATTTGATAGAGTCAAGTCCGGACTATAACTAGGTGAGGGAGAACTGTCTCGCTGAAGCGGCTCAGGTCTGACTTGCCTGTCGTTAAAAAATGAAAAAAACCGCATTTTCACGGAAAGTCACGTCGTTCCACAGCCGCTTTGGCTGGACGCTTCTCCTTTACCCCCGTGAAAGTTCTGATTTTGTTTTATCTGATCATTGGTTATTCGAAGATATACGACTTCATCTGGAGCGGAAGGACTTTAACATTATCGATGAGAAAAAAATGTGCTACAGTAATACTTTGATTCGCGCCCAGCCGGCTTTTGGAGGGATGGTATCCACGAGTTACCTAAATGTTGACAACATGTTGTCGATCACAACGGTACATACTGTCAATCTTGGATTAATCTTGTTTTTGTTTTATTTACTAATTCAAAAATGGACAGTTACTTTCCTGCCAACCTAATACTTCAAGCTCAATTATCTCGGTTCCTTCAAAAAATAGCAAATATGTTCAACTGATTTATTTTTTATTATTTTATCAGTTGACAAAGTTTTGATAACTCTCACACAAATTGAGAACATTGAGCGCAAAATTAGCTGTGGTGGAAAGTTAGCCCACCACTACTGCGTAAAATTGGATTTAAAAATCATGTTCTACATTACGAAGTCTTAGTTTGTAATTTTATTCTTATCTCTTAGACCGAATAGACAAAATCGTTTCATTCAAAAATATGAAATTAGCAAATTTCGGTACTACTCGGATATTTTGGCCCTTAAAAAGTATTTTTCAAATACCAAAAAATCGGGTACGGACCTAATTAGAAAAGTAAGGAGCGAGAAAATCTTCCAGAACTAAAATATTTTTGAAGGACCTCAACATTTCCTAGAGTGGGGCTACAGTATCCCGGACAATAACAACTAGAAAAATTTCACTGACGAACTGGAGAAAATAACACAGTTCGATAGAAACTTCTAGACATTCATTCTTAGCAGCAAACAATGTATTCTAGAAACGAAACCGAATTTTTCACACTGCTCAAAAAGAAATTGTTGTTCTTTTAACTATCTTCTGATGTTTGAAATTTTCTATTTACTGTTCACCATAAACACAGAAAAAAAACTTTGCTGAAACAGCAACCAAAATGTTTCACGCGCTTACTCAAACTAGAAATTCGGGGTTAAACTTATTCAAATTCTCATCATTATCATTTTTCATCCTATTTACACTTGCTATTTAAAAACCGAAGAACAGAAAGGAAATAAAAAATTCGAAAACCAGTGTTTGGATTGTAATGCAAATGTTGCATTTTTCTGTCTGGAACAACAAGGGAAAATTCAGAAACCAAAGTGAAAACATTGAGTTGTTTTTTATTCACCTTTTTATATAGAGGAAGTGATATTTTCGAAATGCCAATATTATGATTATCATAAGACTTCCGGTTAATAGAATCATGTGAACATTTAAACAAATAAGTTCGAAAAAAATACCGAAAAAAGAATATGATACTTATTTTCTTATCTGTTCGCACTCAGTTCACATAAAACCTTTCACACCCACATTCAATAGACAGGATTCACATAAAATTGACTGAAAGTCATCTAGACGACAGATTGACAGACATTCCTATCTATGGGAAGTTAGTTTTTTGAACATGTGATTTTCAGCTTATTTCTTGATTTTCCGACCTATCAATAAACAAAAATGCGTTCAATCAAAATAAAATATTATACAGAACATTTCAGCCGAGTTCTGAAACAGTACGTGCCAAAAATTGTTTGTGAATGTTTAATTGAGGCCATTTTGGCAAGAATATGATTATTGAAAGCAATATTAGAGCTAATATACCAAAGTGAGCCTAATTTTGGATTCAAAACTGCTTGCTGAATAAAACCTTTGAGTGTTTTTTGGTGATACAGTAAGATTCCAATGTTTTCTAGATTATGGTACTATCTAAATGAAAACAATCATCTCTGACAATTGCCGCGTAACAGTTTTGTAACTCTGCTGTGCGTTTTCTTATTTTTTTTTTACATTTCAGTGTATTTCAGAAACTTTTCTTTTAAAAAAAATGAATTTCTCTTCGAAAAAACATACTTTGCGAGGTTTCAAATGTAATTCATCATTTTTCAAATTTAAATTTTGCAGATTTTCTAGGAAATTTCTGTGTTTAGCATACTTTTATTTTCAGAGCACTGAAACCTTAACCTGAAATGAACTTTTTAATTTCTAAAATTTTTTGAAAATTTTTTTCAATTTTCTTGAAATATAATTTTTTCCAGGTTCATATTGTATCATTTTTTTTGAATTCACTAATTTTTCCTTTTTTTTCGTTAATGATTTTTTCACCAATAACATTTGGTAGTGAGAAAATTTATGTATATATGCATAGATAGAGCAAAGGCGCTCCGTCGTGGTGCTTTTCTTTTCTTGTGGATAATAATTGTACTACTGTCAATGTGGCATTGGATTTTAACAATGGTCGTGTAAATCTGACATTGGATGACCTTCCCTCAATAGAATACTGCAATATTGGTGAGGATGTATGTGCAATGAATGTTGGCCAGACATGGAAAACATTGAAAAGTGACTACTATGAAACCGCAAAGCAAGACTTCAGAATTTATTTCGAAAACCCCAACACGCGGATTAATCTGAAGTTGCGATGGAATTATTTAGAAGAGGAATTCGAAAAACTATGTGAAATTTTAGAAGTTTTTTTGACGAGCTCGCTCGTAACGGATTGGAAGGCATGTGCATCAAAATTCTTGATATCGAAACATCCGATGGAACAGAAATCGCTCAATTGATGACATGGATTGATGTGAACACTATAACCTCTCTCCGAATCCATACTAATCAGCTCATGCTCTCTAACGAGGACGTGGAGGAATTTATCGAGACACCACATTGGCAGAGAATACGGAACTTCCAACTCGTCGATTGTTTGGATCTTCCACATAACATATTGAACAACCTCGGAAACGTATCCTTCTTTAGCATTGACCGACCAAACTTTAAGGAGTTTCCTCTGGCAAACTTGTTTTTGTTTGTTGCCACAGTGAGCGGGTCTCAGAATCAATAGCATTTTACAACCAATTTTTTTCAGGATCTCATTCGGTCTGAAAACTTCAAATATGGACAAATAATTTTTGAAAACTTCGATCTTCCTGCTCCTCTGTCCAACACCTACCTTCCGTTGGGAAATGTATCAATAACATTTTACCCAAATCTCATAATTTTGCAGAAGTTATATTGAATTTGGCATGGCTCACTCAATCACTAGGCAATATGGGAAATATTTCACTTTTTCTGATTATAAATATTTTAATCAATGTTCCAATAAACACACATAAAGGAGTGATAAGGTAAATAAAAATCTCAGGTCAAATACTCAAAAAGGAACTCCTTTCACAATTAATTTTCATCTTCATAGTGTTTCTCATACTGTAAAGCCTGTATTAAGAGGACCTCCTAACATTGAGCCGATTTAACTAAATACTATGTTGTCAACTGTTAAAATGTTCATCATGGTATCACCTACATTTTATTAGTACACATATTTTTGATATCTTGCATAGGAGCAAAGAAAAATTAGCTTAAACTTGACAGTGTGTGAGCCTTTCTATCGCAGATTTTGCAACACGTGATATATGAATTAAACTTCGAAACTCTAAGTTTTCGAAGAATCTTTGGTATCTTAAAAAATTTTTTGACAACCTTATTTTATACTTACTATTTTATCTTAATTTATAATTTATGTTTTCATATTTTTGTGAATTTTTGAACAGGAAACTACAAGCTACTTTTCCGATTTTTCTGTTTTCCCAAATTTTGAATAAATTCTATTATAGAATTTTCATCATCTCTGGAAAATTTACTATGTATATTTTGTATTTAGCACCATTCTCTTCAGAAATGATTTGAATTATTTATTCGTATATATTTTGTAGGTAATATTATAATACTAAATCTCATTTTAACTTCCACTGCTTTTAAGATATTTGTGTGTTCTTTTTGCTTTCGAAAAACCTGAAAGACTACAAATTATATCCTGGAATGTACTTGCTAACTTGCAAAAAGCCAAAACAATTACATATTCATTTAGATTTTGTCATGATTCTTAATTCTTTTGCTTCCGTCCAATCCTCGTCGAATCTCTGAGCTCTTCTGCTCCACCCAGCTAACCAGATTTTGACGCTGGCAAGACCCGCCTCCTACCGTCTCATAACCAAATGGGCGGAGCTTCAAGCTAGCCCCTTTAAAACCCCCGGCTCTCCTGGACAAAATATCATTCTGTCAAATTCACTAATCGACAACACCATGAAATTTTTGGCTCTTTGTTTCATCGTTCTCTTGGCTTGTTCCATCAACACTGCATCTGCTCGGATCTGCGGAATGAATCTTTACAAGGTTCTATTCAATGTCTGTCCATCTGGATGTTCGATTGAAGGCGAGTATTCCTCGAAACTGTCAAAGTAGTCGAAGTTAAAGATTACCTATTATTTCCAGACCCATCATTTGCATCCAAGCTTTGCGCTTTTTCATTCTCCAAAGAAGAAATCAAGGAAATGTGTTGTCCCACGGAATAATGGTCAGGCCAGCCAAGGTTTTCTTCATTTTTAATATTCACTAATCGCTAATTTTTCACAAGCTGATTCTTTTTCACATTTTGCTTCTCGATAAATGCCATAGTCGTTCGCAATAAAAACTTCCTCTGTTGCATTTTATTTGAAATTTTAATGAACACGATTTGGGTCTGGCCGGTCATGCTTTTTTCAAAATTGTTAATTGGCGTCATGAAAAATATATAAAAACATACAAAAGATCTTGAGACAGTGGTTCTATGTTTCTTTGAAACAGTTTTATTTCGATCGGGGAAAACTCGAAAGGGCAGTCTCGAAGCAATAAAAATCGCTCGTTCACAGAAATTCCCAAATGCCTCATTAGAAATTGAAAAGGGGTTCTAGGAACTAGCTAACTGCAAAGAAAGTTTCCGTTATTTTAGGGTCAGAAGGTTTTAGTTACTACAAACTACATTTACACATTTATGTTAGTTTTGGGAAAAAATATCAAACTTGCAAAACGGGCCCTTTCATAATTTATTTCAGAATCAGTATTTTCTGACCATTTAATTTTCATATGATAAAACTCGGCAATTTCTACAAAATGATACTATTTGAAACACTGTAGCTTGTCAATGAACAAAGTTACAATCAATGAACAAAGTTAGCGATAAAGTGGTCAATCCGGGCCGGGCCGGGCCCGTTTCGTCTGTAACTTTGTTCATTGACAAGCTACATTGTTCCAAATAGTATCATTTTGTGGAAATTGCCAAGTTCTACCATATGAAAATTAAATGATCAGAAAATATAACTTCTGAAAGAAGTTATGACAGGGCCCGTTTTGCAAGTCTGAAAAATATAAAGTGAAATGACGCGAGCCTGATTTACTTATGTTGCATAAATGGGCAATTTCTACAAAACAAAATGTTTCCAACTTGTGTTGGATTAAATGATTAACTTGACAAATTCTAAAATGTTCTGAGAATCTTTCAAAAAATTTCAAAAAAAAACACTTCCTAACTACAAGGTTCAAATACTACAAAATAATTTTCATTTCAAACTGGAAATTGTCAAAAATCGGAAATTTTTTTTGATAAAAAAATGACAATTATCATACTCCCGGAACACAAAAAAATTTAATGTTCCTTTTGGTTTTTTTGAAACTTCTGAAGTTCTACTGAGTGTCCACGGATTTCTGATGAACCGAAATATACATTTTACGATTTTTTTTCTCGCGCAGGCGAGTGAAACAAGACCAAATAAGCTTTGTAGGCCACCCTTTGAGAATTCTTCTCCCTCGAAAGATTCGGCTAGGTTCTGCTTGCGTTGAGATTTACACAAAAGGAGAAAATGTTTCGCGCTACTGTAGAATTTCCAACTTCAAAAAATTGAAAAATGTATTTTGCGAATTTCGAAGTTATACACGGAACGATGCGATTTTGGAAAACGGAAATTACATTTTTTTTTACAATTTGCGAGAATCTATCAAGTTTGTAATGTTCCGAAAATCCTCCTGGCACCTTCAATTGTTTGAAAAAAAACGCCTCCCTTCCCATTTAGATTCCGATTTTTCTTTTGTTTTTCAGTGTGACGTATAATCTATTCCAGAAAATTTTATCTTGTTTTTGTATTTTCTGAAATCAGTTATTGCTACAATTCTGATTTCATTTGATGTCTCAGAAACCAATCGTCAGACATATCAAAAATTTCATACTTGTCACTCTTCAAAATCCAAAACGTCCTCTAATAGTAAACAACTTCTGCCGCCTCTGACAAATTTTTAACGATTTAACTTGAATGAATTATTTCGGAAATCTCGAGGATCACATTAGAACTGCTTTCTGACATGTAGGTCATTTAATATTAAACATCACTTTCACTTGTTTTTCGTTTTGGGTCCACCACCGCTAATGAGCGCGCGGGAACGAAGAAAATGGAGACTAATGTGATGATGACTCAGTGAGAATTCGGCCACAGAAGGCTCGAGGGAAGTGTGAGAAATCTTATTTCGACTTGTTTTCCACTTTTCCCTGCTCACACGAGACGAAAATCTCGTTTTTCGTTTTCTGAATAGGAGGGCACGGAGCATGAAAAAAGGGGAGCTGAAGAAAAAGTTTGGGTCATAACACGGGACCTCTTGTGGAACTGCAAAATATCAGGATCGGCAGAAATGCTCTTTTCTGAAATCATAATTCTGAGAAATCAACCATCTTCTCTCAAAAAAGAAAAACATGATTTTCTTTCATTTTTTTGTTGAATCATTGGGCTTCGAAAACAAAAAAAACGAGGTTATAACAGAAATGTGATTTTGAATGAACAACTCAATAACAAACAAAAAATAGTTGCAAAAAAAATGAAGGAGACAACAATAGTCCGTAACAAAAAAAAATCGAAAATGGCTTCAGAATGGTGAGTAGAAAAAAATTGATTTTGAATTCAAGAAACACAGAAAGAATAAATTGAATATGAAACAGTAAAATATACAGAACAATATTGTCGATTCAAACGCGAAAAATTAAAAAGATCGAAAGGTAAGAGGACAACAGAGAAAAATACAGTGCGCGTCATGTTGATAGGACCCGTTCCCTCTCAAATTAGTGTTCAAAAAGATATATTAAAAAAAGATTAAGAATCTGTAAGCGCAGTTGGCTTCAGCATTTAAGAAAACCGTTTTCCTTCAAATTTTCAGACCAATTGAACCATCACAGAGCTCAGAAGTCAAAGATAGCATTCATCTCCGAAAAATGAATTTTGAAACTTTCATTCTGGTTATCTGTCAAACCCTGGTGGTGCTAATTGCTAAATCAATTAATTTAAGCTTCAATTTCAGTTTGCAGTTTTCCCGGATATTCTTAATTTTCTTTTTTTTCACTTTCTCTTGTATTTATGTCAGAAATGTACAGAAAATTGTTTTCTAATTGTGAAGCTACTGTCAACTTTCATATTTAGTTTTAAACAACAATATTAACATAGAACAGTGTACAGAGTATGGTAACGCATTCATTATCAAAATTTTTTGATGCGGTTGGCTTTGTTTTTCACAAAATCTATGAGCCTCTTCGGGAACGACTCTACCGTGGAACGGAGGTATTCTGATGATAACTTGGTATATTCTGCTTCCACACTTTTTGTCAATGACTTCAAATTGGGATATGGTAGTGCTTGGACTTTTGATTGGTGAACTCCACACGGACTAGTCAAGCGGATTGAAGTCCAGCGACCAGTCTGGCCATTTCGAACTGGTGATGAATTGAGGAAAGTTAGCTGTGCCTCATGCTTGAACGGTTTTTGCTTTGCGGAAGCAGAATCCTGTTGGAATGTTCACATTTCGATTCGGATATGGCCCAGGGAAAAAAATGCTTTTTTAAAATTTCTTCCTAATGGTTTTCACGCCAGAACCCACGATTAGGCATACTGAAAACGAGTCTTCAATTCGGCAGCAGTGTTGACATTCCTGTCGTCCTCCTCGGCATCTTTCAGCTTTTGAACCGTATTGAACTGTCTTTCGTGTCTGCACACGCGCCAAACCATCACACCCCACAAGTTCTCAATCGGATTGTGGGCACTTAGGGCTGGCCACAAAAACCTTAAACTTTCACGCTTTCAGCCTATCCGGTGTCGAATGCTTTGATGAATCGAAGCATCATTTTGTTGGAATGTATGGGTTCGGATCTTGTTACGGATGGCCTTCTGG